TCAGGAAAAAACATTTCGCAGCTCAATTTCCGTCGTGAATTAACCCAAACATATTTGAAAAACCATGGAAATCCCCCGAAATCTGGTTATCGACCATCTACCTCTAAGTCTGGATCAAGGGTTTCGGAAGGAGTAACAAATGAAAGAGTAAATCACTATCCAAAATCAGTAGAAAAAAAACGGAGATGTGCCGGAGCACACTGTACAACTATTGGGAGAGTCATATGTTCAAACTTTAATGTAGGTTTATGTCTTAATATTTTGAAAATTATCATTCTGAGTAAAATTTTAACATTTTTTATTTTTAACTTTATGTAGATTTATCTAAATAAATAAAAAAAAATATTTGTTTGTGTTTCTTATTCATGAAAAACAGTAGAAAACTGAATTTTTGTACTCCTTTGAACCTAGCGTTGCCATATGACAACAGTCTCAAAACTCAAAATTGATGTTCTTGTTATTTTTTCTTTTGGTGTAATGTTGTTACTTAGACGTTATTCAACCCGAATAGAAATAAAAAAACAAAAAAAAAACAAAAGTTTCAGGCTTTAATGGGTTAAATACTTCTCTTTTTGTGAAATTCTTAAAAAGATAAATTCGCATCCCGGAATGGAATTCAATAACGAGTTAATGAAGGAATCCCTTAGCCTCCATTAAATAGAACGTCACATAGGTACAAGAAATAACCCAAACTCAATAGGAATAATTGAGCGATTTCATTCAACAATCATTGAAATCTACAGGTTAGCAAAAAATGAACAAAAGTGCACTGATGCCTCATCAATAATGACGTACACAGTTATCGCATATAGTCATGCTATATACTCAACTACAAGCCTTACCCCATTTGAGGTAATTTTGGCCATAGCGATACAGACACCCCATTTAACATAGAGTTCGAGAAACATCTCCGCACAGCCTCGGCCGCTATCTGAATCGCATACCGAAACAGAAAAGAAGCAAACCAGTAACCATCCTACGCAAATATGTCGTAAGTATGTATGGGGGACATGTTCAAAAGGTAAAATATAAATTTCGTTATGAACTTGATGTACACGCCCCTAGCTGCCCCAACAAAAGTCGACCATACAGGGGCCCATACAGCTGTAGATTCGACGAACAACTAAGGGTGAGGCCCAACGGCCTATGGAGACTTATCATTCTACGCAATAAATATAAGGCTAGGTAAACAAATATTACGTACCTGGTTCCGAAGCGAAGACCGCCCCAAGGATCGGTCAGGCCGTCGGTAGGTATAGGTGCATGTAAGTGGTGTGTAGTAGTGTTTATAATGTTTGGCCTGACCTAACTGAGGTGATCGGGCAGCGGCCTGGTCCCATGCTGCCCCACAATGCTGCATCACTCCAGCAGGAGTCACCAATTGACACTTCTTTCTTCATTTCACTATTTCAGTCTATCCACTTTATTGTACATTTAACTAACTTCAAACTCAACTAATTCAACGTTCATCGTAAAATCAAACACGTGACACCCGACACAAATATCGAACAGTAGTTCAAAGTTCAATATTCAATGTTCCGGATTCATTAATCACCAAATTAGAACTAGGGAACTAAGGCGATCTCTTCACGAGTCACAAAGTTCAGCGTTACAAACAACAAACTAAATTCCTTCGTACGATATTAAATATTACGCCGCAAATAAGAATTCAAAATCAGCCTAGCTGACACGCAAACTAACTACAGAGTCAACACACGGCTCTTAACGCGACGGTACAATTAAACAATGAAAACGAAATTATTTTAATCACTAAAACTCAATACAAGCCTCTTATCACGAACGTACAACTTATACAAACTAATCCGAGGCGGTCTTCACGGAACCACAAATTCTATAGCGAATTAAACGCGCACAAATCCTCAAAATCTAGACCACAAAACCAAAACTGGTCGCGCGAAACCGCTGCAGCGGTCACCACAAAATACGTTAATCGACCGCGCCGCTGCTATCAAGCCACTGGTCTCGCCCACGAGCGCCAAACGCCGGGAAGCTGCATACCGCTGCCCCCCCCCCCCCCCTCGGCGAGGCGCACGTCACCTCACACCATCGGGCGATTCGCTTGGTCAAACGCGATTGGATGGCGTTTCAAATGACCATGTTTGGGCCTAAACACTTGACGTTGAGGAAATAAAAAAAAAATAAAAAAAATTGCCACGACTATCGGCATAGAAGTGGCTGTACAAGAGAAGACTGCAATTATTTTCATACAACATTGGGAAGATGAAAATTTATTCCTTACCACTGGCCAAATACCTCGAGTATTTGCTCAACGCCACGCTGCATGTCAGCTTCAACAAATGTAGAGACTATCACCAACAATACTAATGATAGCAATATTGCCTTCCATACCAATCCAACATCCTCCTCCTCAAACAACGGCTCCACCAGCACCTTATACTTCATATCAAATATCTATACTACCACCACCGCCGCATAGGACTTCCTATAACTAGCCGCATACAGCATCAAGTTGCACACAGAATATCTTATCACACAATTAATCGGGCAAGAGCACCAGTCACACAACCAACCCTACCCAGGATATCAACATCAGCAGCCATCTCTTTTCATCATGGCTGTCAAAATTGTAATCAGTATGTTATGGGAAGATATCCACCCCCAAATTATTACCCTCCATATAAATGATATTTTGGCGAGTTTTAATTTACCAAATAAGGAAGTGTTAAAAACGAGTGATTCTTACAGTTAAACAACCCCTACAAGTATGAAATTATTTAGTTTCTGAATCTGACCTTCATTTTACTACAAATGTGACAGACAAAGACTGACGACAAAATACTTGAAAAACAATTAAATGAACTCAAATTGGTTCATACTTACGACGATGAAGGTGAGGAAATTTATAGAATGTGTAAAAATTCGCATCAAGAATGAAAATCCAAACTTTGTTAAACCATACAGACAGGCCCCAACACAAATAGAAGAAATAAATAGACAAATATATAAAAAGATAATGTTATCCAAGAATCGCATTCTCCGTGGAAAGTTCCAGTGTACTTAGGACCAAAAAAAACGATGCAACCGGAGAACAAAAATATCGTATGGTCGTCGACTACAGACGCTTAATTGACATCAAAGACATGATCAACTCGTATGAATGCACAGATCGAGTGGTACCAAAATGTGTACTAAATAACACACTACTAAATATAGGTAGTGATCTTACAGTATTAGGATTAACAATCGATAATAATTAAAAATTCAACAAACATTTAGACAGAACAATCCAAAAAGTTACAAATATATATAAAAGTATTACTAGAGCTGCCAAATCTACCTGGGGACTTAGTAGTGAAATATTAAGAATTATTTACATAGCAGTAATTGAACCGATTATTTTATATGCATCAAGTTCCTAGGATCAAGTTGTTGACAAAAAATATATCAAATCGAAATTGAACGGCATAACGAGAATGATCGGAAATAAAAGACTTGATTGAGTCATTTAAATTGTCTGTAGAGACCCTGTTAACTGCAGAAACAACACTAAAATTTGTTTTAGAAAAGTTGCTCACTCATGACACTGTGTTAAGTACTGAATTATATATATAAAACACAACGTACAAGAATTAAAGAACGCAGCATTGTTGTAACAGGAATATTAATATACTTACAGAATCCAAAGAAATATCATGAAAATGTAAACAGATCTGATGATACATTTACTATGCCAAAGAAAAAATTCATGCGATTAGATATGAGAAAAATCTTAGAAAGAGTTATTCAAGACGATAACTCTGTGGCGCGATAGATTTATTGAGATTATTATGCGTTTCATTCGTGCAGCTGACAAAAGCAAACTGATAAAAACGATACAATTACGAAATTGCAACCTCCAATTAATAAACTAATACAAAAATTTCTCGACCAAATTGCCATTTAACAAAATCTTAACCATGATGAAAACATGATTGAATACTTCGGAAATCATTGATTCAAAGCAATGTATTTGTAACAAAACCTATCTGGTTTGGATATAAATGTTGGTGTTTGAATGACGGTAGTGGGTATTTGACAAATTTTGAAGTGTATCAAGGTGCTATCCCAGGTGCGAATATTGAAAATGAGCAAAACTTTGGAAAAACAACAGCACCCATGCTTTCCATGATTATTAAATTACCAGAAGTGATGAGAAAACAGAAACTTCAATTTTTTCAAATAAGAATTCAAAATCAGCCTAGCTGACACGCAAACTAACTACAGAGTCAACACACAAAAGGCTCTTAACGCGAGTTAACGTGTCGTAACCCTGGAATCGGGCTGACATAGCAGTTTCACAGAACAATCGGCAAATGAGGAATGCTTGCGCTGCGGAAAGGATCGCCGTGGAAACAATAGAACTGTCTCACTGTCTGACACCATCCACGCTTAACTTAACTTCTTTGTAACTTTACATATTAATTGAATTTATTACTTTTGTAACTTTTGTGAAATTAAATTAATTTTATTCTTTTTAAAAAGTCTTTTGATCGCCGCCATATCGTAACTGGCGCAGTCGGTCTTTCGCGACAATTGGTAGAACCTTCGATCAATTGAACGGTTTCGATCGTATAAATCGCGACTTCGAATCTAGGACGGCGGCACGGACGAAGACCAAGTGGAGCTGACTCAGACCCGTGAGGAGATGCAGAAGGTGCTTTGGTGAGTACTCTCGCTATTTCAAGTTCCCTTTGCTCTATTTCCTTCCGTATTTACTTTAAGTAGTATATGTGATTCTGTCTAGAAGCTAAATCGCTATAGACATTTAGTTAGGAGATTAGGTATTCGTCTTTTAGCTCAAATCTTTATAGATTCCTATTAGCTATTATAGGATATAAGTCTAACAGCTAAAAATCGCTGCAGACTCTTAGTTGAGGTCCGGTAGTGTATACGTCTTATAGCTAAAATCGCAAATAGGCAGATACAAATTGCCCAACTATTTTAACTTATAACGTGTTTTTTTTATTATTAATTTAAAAATGGCTTTTCCTAACGGTGAGGCAGCCAACTTTAAGATGATCGCGGAATTGATACCAAGGTACGATGGCAATACAAAGAGATTAAACCATTATATCAGAGAAATTGAAAATATTCTTAATCTTTTGGACGATACTGCTAGGGTACATCCGGCAATTATATGTCTCATAAAGAGTAGATTAAGCGGTACCGCGATTGATGCGATAGCATACCAAGAAACTCTTAATTCTTGGGAAACTATTAAAGATGCGCTCGTACGTAGATTAAGGGAACCTAGGAATGAAATCCAGGTTATGCAAGAGCTTAGTAGGGTGCGGCGTAACAGAAACGAGGACGCCGAGACACTTGGTAAGCGACTTCGAGAAATACTAGATACACTATTTTCTGTAGGCACACATACCAATAAATCGTACTACGAAAACATGGTAATAGAACAATACACGAGTAATTTAGATTTCCAAGTTTCTATAGCGGTGCGAATAGCACAACCCACCACATTAGAATCAGCCATAGTAATAGCGAGACAAGAGGAAGCGAAACTTTCCTTTAATAAGACATTCAATAATAATAATTATAGTGCACCATCAACATCGGCTCAGGCAAAGTTTAGAGAACCAATACGGGCTATAAATCGGCCTCAAAATTCCCTACCGCTTAGGTTTGGTAACTCAGGCCCCATGCAAAACCAGACGAGTAATAAAGCTCCAGTTCTGCGACAAAATAATTTGACTCCAGAACAGAGGCAGCAGTGGGTGCAATCCATGTTGCCATGGAAGAACCGCCCATCATCATGTAACTTCAGGGCATCTTCAGGAAATTTTAGGAATAATATACCCCAGCTACAAGCTCCTGCACAGAAGGTTTCAGACGTCACAATGAGATCCGTCTCTAAGCCTCAAAAACCACAGTTTGCAGCTGAGGAGCTATTCTACACAGGCCTACCTGGACAACCATACGAACAACAATATGGCGAGGACGACACGGACTACGTGCATCAACAAGGTCAGTATGCATACTGTAGTGACAACTACAACCAACAGGTATACGAACCTCCAATGGACGACGGTGAGGTTCAGCAGGATTTTTACCAAGGTCCGGTGCCCTCAGACCAAAGTTAGTAAAACTAAATAACCATGATAAAGATCACCTTCCATATATTGAGCTGCCAGAATTTCAAGGTAAGTTCCTTATAGACACCGGAGCCTCGCGCTCTATGATATCACCTAGTGTAATACAAAACACAATTTTCGAACACCTTGTAGAGTATGAACCATTCGAGGTAAAAACAGCACATGCCATTACACAGCACGATCAAGTGGCCTATCTACCACTGCCACCCGCGTTTAACAGCGATATAATTCATAAGTTCCTTATATTCGATTTCGACCCCAAATATAAAGGCTTAATAGGATTGGATTTACTGAGGACGCTATCGTGTAACATAGATATAAAAAATAGACTTTTACATACCGCTAACTCGCAGATACCAATTTCATTTGACTATCCCAGTAAAAAACTCAAGATTGAACCAAAATGCGAAAAAATTATAATAGTGAAAACTAATTATTCTGACGGTCAGTACATTCACGATGATTTCATATGGTCTAACGGCTTAAAATCTCCCGCAGCTATGGTCGAGGTCAAAGAGGGAAAATTCAGAACATCTATTATAAACTTTAATTCAGAAAAACGAATAATTTCTAATAATGAAAAGATATACCTAGAACCATACCGTGAGAACTCTGATAGATCTAGATGCAGTTTAAATTCCATAGAGGTTAACTCGGATATAGAGAAAGAATTACGCAACAACTTAAATAAAATACGTACAGACCATATGAATGAAGAGGAGAAACGCGAAATCACTAAGATTTGCTATCAGTATAGAGACATCTTCCACTCTGAAAATATCCCACTTTCTTTTACGCATGCAGTTAAACATCAGTTAAGACTGACCGACCAGACTCCGATATTTGTAAGAAGTTATAGACAAGCCCCACAACAACGCAAAAAAATACAGAATCAAGTAGACAATCTTTTAAAACAAGGTATTATTCGCGAAAGTATATCCCCATGGTCATGCCCTGTTCATATTGTTCCTAAAAAACCGGACGCACTAGGTAAGGTAAAATGGAGGTTAGTCATAGACTATCGAAGACTTAACGATAGAATAGTAGAAGAAAAGTACCCACTTCTCAACATAGATGACATTTTAGACAGACTTATACGCGCCCAATATTTTACGACCTTAGATCTGGCTATCGGCTATCATCAGGTGGAGATGCACCCTGATGACATAGAGAAAACTGTATTCACAACAGAGAGAGGACATTACGAATTCCTTCGAATGCCATTTGGCCTAAAAAAATGCACCCAGTACTTTCCAACGGCTCATGGACCACATCCTTAGAGGTATTAACAACGTTTACACCTATCTCGATGACGTCATAATAATATCAACGTCATTGCAGGAGCATATAGAGAAACTGAAACAAGTATTTGAAAGGTTTAAAACACATAATCTCAAAATTCAGTTAGACAAGTCAGAGTTCCTTCAAAAACACGTCACATTTTTAGGCCATGAGCTAACTGATCAAGGACTAAAACCTAATCAGGACAAAATTAAAGCGGTTTTAAACTTCCCTCTACCGAAAACACAGAAAGAAATTAAAAGCTTTTTAGGACTAGTAGGCTACTATAGAAAGTTCATAAAAGACTGCCAAGCTTACGAAACCAATGACCTTATGTCTTAAGAAAAATAGTAAAGTTATACACTCCTCCGAATTTTTGGAGTCCTTCAATAATTGCACAGATTTTAACCAATGCACCTATCCTACAGTACCCAAACTTTGACGAACCATTCATACTGACAACAGACGCATCGGACGTAGCCCTTGGTGCAGTACTGTCTCAAGGAAAAATAGGTTCAGACAAACCGGTAGCATACGCATCAAGGACACTTTCGGATACAGAAGCGAAATACTCGACAATAGAAAAGGAACTCTTAGCCATCGTCTGAGCAGTGAAATACTTTCGGCCTTATCTTTATGGACGAAAATTCGTCATATATACCGACCATAGACCCCTGACACGGCTAATGTCACTAAAAGACCCTAATTCTAAATTAACTAGGTGGCGGCTTAAACTTGCTGAATATGACTACACGGTTGTTTATAAAAAAGGACGGCAAAACACCAACGCAGACGCTCTATCCAGAGTCAAAATTTATCATAAGAGCATCGATTCACTAGCAGTCAATTTAGATGACAATTTTGACGACGACATCATAAACAGAATTTTCGAAAACGTACGACAAGAGATAGATACGGAGACAGAAGGAATACAACAGTCCGTGGATAATAATGACGACAACAGCAATATCAACGATAATAACGTGACAGTTAGACCCAATGTACAACCTCCTCTAACAGACACAGAATCCGATAGTATGAGTATCGTTACACGCGATCCCGATCACTTAATATCGACAAACCATACGCAACCCGACAACGAAAACAACGGCATACCAATCTTATCAGACGCGATCGACAGACAATTAAAACAATTCCATATCAGGTCAACTCCAGGATCAACATACAGAGTAGAAAATAGGTCTACTAACTCTAGAACAGTAATTAAAGATGTATTTATTCCAGTCAATAACACAGAGAAAGAAATTATCCAATTCTTAAAAGAACACACTATTGCTGATCGTGTATTCTACTGCTACTTTTATAATGAAGAACTGTACCTAGCATTCTCCAGAGTTTACACGACGGTATTTAACGACAGAGGACCTAAGCTTTTTAGATGTATTTCACGCGTTACCCTTGTCGAAAACAAGACAGAACAACAAGAAATAATTAAGAAATATCATGAAGGCAAAACTGTGCATCGTGGTATCCAAGAGACATACAAGCAAATCCATAGAAACTACCATTGGCCTCACATGCTACTCACAATTCAGGCATTCATAAATCAATGTAGTATCTGTTTACAAGCTAAATATGAAAGGAACCCTCTTAGACCCTCATTAGCCTTAACGGAAACGCCCACAAAACCTATGCAACATATATTTATGGATCTGTATTCGACAGGCGGTGCCACCTTCGTCACTATAATAGACAATTTCTCAAAGTTCGCATAAGCAATACCGTTGAACGCCACTAGTAGTGTACATATAGCTGAAGCTTTATTTCAGGTGTTCTCAGTTTTAGGAATTCCTTATAAAATTGCAACGGATTCAGACAGTAAATTTGACAATGAAGTTATAAAGGAGATATGCGCTTTACATGGTATAAACATTCACTTTACGACTCCATACAATCCAAATTCGAATTCACCCATAGAACGCTTTCATTCGACTATAGGAGAGATTATCAGAATCCAACGAATGACAAACAAAGATGATGCCATACAATTAATTATGAAATTTTCAGTCATTGCTTACAATAACTCAATCCATTCGGCAACAGAATATACTCCACACGAGTTACTATTTGGACATACAGCTTCTAGAAATCCACTAGAGTTACATTATCCTAAGCAGTTTTACCAGGACTATGTTATCAAGCACAAAATGCATGCAGAAGCCGTCCAGGAATGTGTGTCAGCGCACATGGCCAAAAACAAGGAACAGGTAATAGCGAAGCGAAACCAGGCAGCAGAGGAGATAACATTTAAGGTAGGTGAAACAGTTTATAAGCAGGTTGCCAAAATAGCGAGAAACGACAAAACTAAACCAGTGTTTAAAGGACCGTATAAGATTATTCATTTACATCCTAATAATGTAGCAGAAATAGCAGGGAATCATCCTAATTCTAAGTCTATTCGGGTACACTTCAAGCTTCTACGAAGACCCCATCTTGTTCCAGGACAACCATCATCGGAGCCTTCGTGTTCCAGGCAAGATCCGACGTAACATTTCAACCCGTAGACAATACGAACGGAGTTCTATTACTTAGACAAGGTCATATTCTGAAACAGACTAATTCCTTCAACCTTGCTTGTGTTTATAATGTTACGCACTTGAATCTAATATCGATAAAATTAATGGCATTTTACGCAAGTGCTAAGGCAACTGAAAGTAACAGTACTACACAGAAGAATTACATAAAACATATAGGGATCAGATAGAACACAAGTTAGATTTAATTAATAAGAAAATAATTTTTATTGCACCTAGGATTAGATTTAGGCGTGGTATTATAAATGGACTAGGTTCTATAGTGAAGGCGATAACTGGTAATTTAGACAACGAAGACGCGATTCAATTTCAAAGCGAAATAAATAAAATTCGTAATTCGGTCTATAAAACGCAACGCTCACAGAGGCGAACCCTATCTTTAGCTGAAAGTACTACAAAGGAATTTTCGAAACAACTAAGCAAAATAGATGATAACCAAAAGAGATTAACATCTATACTAAAAAACATAACAATTAATTCCGATACAATAAAAAACCAGTTACACTTTTTAGAGATTTACGTTCAAATAAGTTTTAGTTTACAGATTATTTTAGATAAGTTAATGGTGCTAGAAGATGCTATGGCATTCTCGCATTTAGGTATAATGCACCCTAGTATTATAAGCCCACGAAATTTAGTTTTGGAACTTAGTAATTTGCAGAATAACTTTTCACTTTATCCAGTCGAGGAGATCAGTATTGATAATATTCATAAGATAGAAAAGTTTATTAGCGTTAAAGCCTATAGTACGGAACATTCTTTAACATTTATATTAGAAATCCCATCCGTCCAACCTATATTATATGATTATATACACATATATTCCCTGCCAAACAACCTAAACCTGACCATTATACCTAAATCCAAATTCCTCGCACTTGGAAGCGATGAGTACGCCTACCTGGAAGAAGATTGCAAGAAGCTGTCAGAAGATACCTGGCTCTGCAAATCACTGGATACTAGAGCCATAGAGAAATCTGAAGATTGCATCATCTCACTCATCAAGCATAAAGATGGTAACTGCACTCGTGCGCGCATGAATCTGAAGCGAGGAAAATTGCAGAAGATCAAAGAAAATAAGTGGTTGGTAGTATCAACGGAACCAGAAATTATAAAAACCCAATGCGGACAGAAAACAGAATATAGGAAACT